CATTTAGTTCAGTCTCCAACTCGATTAATGACTCATGAGAGCCTACTGGCCTAAGCTTTGTCTTTTGACAATTGACGAACTTGAATATATCACTGCAGGTGAAATAAAAAAAACACGTCTTACTTTGAAATAACGGATCATGCAGACGAACACCCATGTCAGAAGCAGTTTGTGTTTATAGTGTTTGACAGCACAAAGATTGCAGTTTAGAACAAAGAGAACAAATGACTTAGCGGTTCTCGAAAAAATGACGATCTAAAGCCTGAAATGCGTTTTATAAGGAAGAGATGACTTGCCATTGACAGGAGGATCTGATAGGAGCGGGTGGGGGGTGAAGGGCTTAGAAGCAACTGATTCCGAACAAAGGCCACGCTAATAGCAATGACAAAAGCAGGGAGACATAGCAGCTCGCAATGTGCTAGCGACTGCTTTAAGGAATTGCACATTAAATGAACCTTGGTTTTGTTGTAAAAGTCCGCTCAAATTTAGCCATTTCATTTATACAAGAAGATGTGCAGAAGAATTGATGTTAATCATCAATTTCGAGTGGTGTCTTTCTTTCTGTAAACACACATTTATAGTCATTTTATCAACAAAAACGAAACAAATGTTTTTTTAGCACAGGTACGTTTCAAGCGGTGAGTAATTATCACTTCTAGGACTCGCAAAGTCTGTGGATTTCTAGATCTTGCAGTAACATAAAACGCTTCGTGCGTCGGCTTCCTGATCGCAGTCTAGGAAATACCGTGTCATTGTCCTTCAAGAGAGATTTTTCCTGTAAAGACCAAGTTTCTTGAGACATGCTCGGTTGATGGACGATACGATATTCAAGTTGCTACTGTATCTTATTTGACAGGCGGGTTGATATGGACCGCTGTCTTCTGTTCCATCNTGCCGCCATTGTGAATGAACGCAAAGAGATAGCTGTTATCCGGCCAAACAGGAGTCAGTCATTCTGATTTCCCGGACACGACTTCTGATCTATTCTGTGAAATTAATCCACAACCGACCACGTCTTTATCCAGGACAGACATTTCCAAGTTTCTCTGATACTGGTCTGTTCAAATAGGTTCACGATACATAGATAGTTCAAACTTCCTCTCTGACAATCGATTGAGTCACAATTCGAGAAGCGGC